ACAGGTTTTGCTGTCTCAACCAATAACTTTTGGATATTGATTTTGACAGTCTCCAGAAATTTAATGAAAATTTCGTTGGTTAATCTTTTTCCCTTTTTTTAAGATTCCTTTATGCGGACCAAATTCAATTCTGGGAAGGGCAGTTGTGGTTCATGCTGATCCTGATGACCTAGGCAGAGGTATAGAAATTGTGTTTAACATAAAAATTTCTGATATCCAAAAATTGTGAAACTAGATTTTGCTTGCATATAATTTGAAGAACAAATACCTCTTGACCTTATCTAGTTTGAAGAATAATTAGAACTAGAATGCTCAAAGTAAATTAGTTCCACAGAATGTCCCCAGGTAATTTAGTGCTTTTGTTGCACATCAGACATCTCACATCAACACAAACTCTACCTAGAAATGGACTGATTTATAAGTTATAACTGCACTTAGAAATGGACTAATTTCACTTGCATCAAAGTGTGTTAGATTCCATTTGGTATATACATTCTATTATTTGCATGTTTTTTTTCGGTTATTACAGTTTTAATGTTCATCACTCTCTTCTCTTTGCTGTGTGCCACTTTGATTGATTAAATGGTAGTGAAATTTGTGTCAATATTCATAAGAGAGGGGCTTTCACACTTAGTCTAATACTTGCATAAAATAGCCATCGTATGCTTTTAACCAGGTTGATATGCAAGATATGATAGTAATTTATAGATTAAACATGGCAGTTGAGTCATATCTGCCAGTTACAGATTGTCCATTGCAGAATACATGTCAGACATGTGATGAATGTTATATTTACTTGCATTTCTCCAAGTTGCAGGAGGTCACCAACTCAGTAAATCCACTGGTAACGCGGGCGCCAGAATCGGATGCGGTGATACATCCGCCCATTATTGCATTGCATGCATATGCACTTGGTTTTATTTCTCTATGAAAAACCTAATTTGCACATATTGCTCTCCAGGAATCATTGGTCTTCAGTCGGCAGTTTGATGATGGTTTATACATATGCACGAACCACTGTCATGGTTTCTCTCTACTGCCTTTAGAAGACGCAAAACAATTACCATGGGCCGGCCGGTACTTGTGAATAAGTAAACTGAAACATGCTCGTAAAATTTCATAGACCTCTTGTAATGATGAGCATATTGATTACTGCTGCAACTTAAGTTCAAGAAATTGCAAGTTAATGGCTTGGAACTCGATGCTTCTTGTCTCAGTTATGATCTTTTACTTACAGCTAGTCATCTTGTTGCAAAAAATTATATTTGAGCTTCAAACCAATGAATTCCAGGCTATGGTTTTTTGGTTATGACTAATTTGGTAGCCATATATTGATTTGAATGGTTCACTCACCAATTTAAACGTGTTGAGTGGATGAGACTGGGAGCAGGCCATCGACACTGGGAGAGATGGGTGGCATAGTTATTTAACCGACCTTTGGCCAGTCCAATATGTTGTTGATTTTTTGTAATATATATAAATCAGAAAAATATTCTACTATAGTTACTATTTTTATTTTTCTTTTGAAATTATTTGAAGTGTTTTGAAAAAAAAAAGATTTATCACATTTACTCAACTTGCCACTCTAATCATCTCACTGTTGCCCAACCTCAACTCAATCTTCGTGCTGGTCAACGTGGCGCCTTTTTGATGTTCGTTTATATCGAGAGTCGCTGCTGAAGCCCGAGTCAGCGCTCTCAACTCACCGCTTCTTTGAACGCGATCCGCGCGGGCAACCACGCATTCATCGGCTCCCATAGCATCGACCGTTCTACACCACCCGACTCCGTCAACTCCTCCATGCCGAAAGCGTAGCCACCTCCCTCCGCCACCTTATAAGAGCCCCGGCCCTGCAGCCCTATCCATCCTCGCAACCGAAGCAACCCACACCTTCCACCATACCCAACCAACCAAGCTCAAGCCCCTAACGCAGCAGCAATGGCGGACACCAAGACGGCTGTGGTTGCTTTCCTCCTCGTCGCCCTCCTCGTGGCGTCGGCTGCCCCCTCCGCGAGCGGCTTTTGCTTCCCCGACTGCTACGACCGCTGCGCCAACGGCAAGGTCGGCAACGTGCCCTGCGCCACCATGTGCGCCCAGGCCTGCATCGTGCCCAGGGTCCTTCCCGACGGCAGAGACCCGACCATGATGCAGCCCGGCGGCAACTACTAATAACTTGGAAAGAAAGATGAAGAAGAAGATAGTCGTGGTCCCAATCTTTGCCATGTTGTTAGGCACATGTGATGTGTGCTCTAACAGTAGGAATGCTTATTAATAATCGTCAATTATTATTATTATTATTATTATTATTATTATTATTATAATACTACGTGAATTTTGGGACACTAGTCAGTTTCCACATTCTTCGGTTGTTTTCTGTAACGATGTGGAGATTGACTGTAAGCTTTTTTTCCTGAAATATATGCATGTGTTCTTTTGTGCTGAGTTATATGATTGTTCTAATGGATCTATCTACGCTCTAAAGAAGACAAATCCATTTCCTGCCAGCAGAGACCAAGCATGGATAGCATCAACTTCGTCCAAGAGCTCTGCAATCCCCTCACCTTCTTCTCATGCTCCTAGTTTGCTTTCGTTTCATTCAGATTACATGACTCTGCGATCCTTTTTGCTACAAAAATTGGATCGGATTCCAACTGCACTCGGTGCATTGAGACAGATTCATCTGCCAAGAGCAACAATTCCCATTGATGACAGCTCTGGCAGAGGCAATCATAGTGGTGCCATCTTGCAATCTATGATGATTGTCCTGTTCATGAGATCTGGAAGCAATGCATTTTCTCAAGGCCATTCTCTCTCTCTCTCTCTCTGAGAGTTGCCTTACAACTCTCTACTGAGAGATGTCACACCACGTCATGAACCCTATTCACGTCCGTGATATCTAATTGTTTAGAACGTATGACACACCAGTCTCTGCAAAATAACCAAACGCAGTGGGTTCCTCTGTTGTCTTGTCTGGCATGGGAAATCTGGCATCGACGCAGGAGCTCAATCCCAAGCCTTGGGATTGTCGATGGAACTTGTGCCACTGTCATTACAGGTGCTTCATGTGCGAGAACTCATCCTCTAACTTTTCCTCTCATGGCGAGCATTCTAATGCAACTTTTCCTCTCGTGTGAAGCTTGGCAATGGCTTTGACTCGACCTATGTTCTGTGTCGTTGTTGTTTTCTTCCTATCTTTCTCTTTCTTGTTTGTCCAGATAGTTGAAATCGTCTCCGTTTTGCTTTTGTTTGTGTGGAATGTGGCAGAGAAGTTCTGCAACGATGCCTGCGTGGAGCGGTTTCTCACATCCAAGGGGGGCATCGTGAAGAAGAAGACGGCGAAGCAGCTCAGAACCGCCCCTTCTTCCAGAGACAACATTGGAACTGGTAGCTTCCATTTTACTCTCTCTTTCTCTCTCTTTCCATATCGTTCCATTGTTGAAATACATTATTGTTGCAATGGATGTTTGTATTCAGAGAGATCCATTATTCAGAGTTACTGATTTGAAGCATATAAATGATTGACAAATAATTGTATTCCTAAAAAGAGAGACACGCTCTATCATGTAAGCTAAATAATTATATTTGCTAACTATTTATGATTCACTTTTGTTTTAATAAGCATATTATTATCAGTTTTTATTTCGTCAGAAATAAAATTGTCAGACATCAGCTATATATATCTCACGTTCATACATATTTTCAATTAGGGTATTCTCTCGTAAAACCACAAGGTGTTTCACTCGTATCGTTTCAAGATATACATACATGACAAAAGCTTAATCTTATAGGAACATGATAAATTATCACTAATTAGAGCAAATCAACAATCTCTTTTAGGAGTAAGGATACAAATGATTGGTAAACAATTATATTTTTAATAAGTCCTAATTAATCTATGATTTAAGGATTAATTATCTTGATTCATATAGATAAATGATAGAGAATCAATAAATATATGACTCCACAATGAATTTACACGATATAATTTATATTACTATAATGAGTGTAATAACAGTTTTTATTGATATAAAAAAATACAATTATAAAATTTTTAAATCAAATTAATGTGTTACAAAGATTGGAACCCATGTTTATTGGGTTTAAAACAAAAAATTCAACCTCTACACCATAAGGTAGATTTATGTTATAAGCTTATTTTTTATATACCTAACCAATTAAAAAAAAAGATTGGTTGGGAACCAAAATCATTCATTCTATTTTTCAAAAATCAAAATCAAAATTATCGAGAGCTAGTTTCAATTCTATTTCAAACCGACAAATCATTGAGTTGGTTCAGTTTTAATTCAAATCGAAGGTAGCTTTATCTTCGTCATCTCCATCAATCTAATAACCCTTTAAGTAGTACGAGATGAAAAAAATTTAAATATTAAAGTTTGATTCTTTTATAAATATGATAGGTATTTTTAGATTTTGATGAATAAGAAATACTTTAATACTCAAAAGATAAAGTAAAAAGTAAATTCTTTAGAGTGTAGGTAAAAATGTGCACTTATACTTAGTGTGAAGAATTTAATTTTTCTTCATAAATAGACATGATAAATATTAAAAACCACATATATCGATTTTATGATATATTATTTAATTAAACTCTGAATTTTCTTTCTCCCTCTGCAACAATATATATATATATATATACAATGCATTTTCTGTCACAACCCTTTTATCTCAAAGCTCCCCCCACCAGCATTAGGAGGAGGCTCAGAAGAATCTAAAGCTGACGCATCGCTTCTCCGTCACAACGTAAACAATCACTTTTCTTTAGGAAAAGAACCGATAAAATAGTCGAACGCGGTGTCGAGTCACGTTTCCGGCGTGCAACACGTTTCGACGAGGCCAACTACCGTCACGACAGTGCGTCCGTATTGTACGCACGTGCAATCGACACGGAATGATCCGACCTAATCCGCGCCTCTTGTCGTGTCTCACGCCACCACCTGTGGTGCCTTTAAATACGAGGCTTCCCCTTGCCGCATCTCGTCCTCTGCTTCTTCCTCCTCCTCCTCCTCCTTTTCCTCTTGCTGCAGCCCGCGAGATGGAGATTTGTGGCTCTCGATCCCCATTCGACTGTCTTCTATTAGGTAAACTTCACCATTTTGAGCTCTTTGTACTCTGTATCCATACGTCCGTCTTACAGAACTGTTTCCTAAAGATCTTGATGACACCTTGTACTCCCCCACAATCGGCATCGGACAAGCCTGCAAAAGGAACATCGAAGGTACTATATGTCTGTATCATCAGATGCTTCGTTCCGCGTGTTCCGTCAAAATTGCTGATCGATGATGGTTTGTTCTTTAGAGTTTCTTGCCGGCAAATGCGGTGTGTCAGCGGAGCGAGCTTGCACCCTCCGCGTCGAGCACTTCCGAAACCACGGCAGCTCGCTCGCAGGCCTCCTCGTATGGCCTTCACCTCTCTCTGCTCGTCATTGACACTTCGTTTTGCTTGCCCTTTCTGTTGACGTTGGCTCGAATCGTTGCAGGATCTCGGTCACGACGTGCACCCCGACGAGTACCACAGGTCTGTTCCGACTCCAATCTCCTTGTTGCGGATGATACACAACGGAGCAGCAGGGAACACACCTGATTCTGTTCTTGGCAATCTTTCTTTCATGGTTTCAGCTTCGTTCATGGAAGGTTGCCGTACGAGCTGATCCAACCTGAGGCGGAGCTGCGGGAGCTTCTCGGCAGCATCACCCAGCCCAAGATCGTAAGCTCTCGAGCTTGACTTGGAACTCCGCGAGCCGCTCCGTAGCATACACTAATCGTCTGATGGATTTCGTCCGGGTGATGTCGCAGCTGTTCACGAACTCGGATAGGCAGCACGCGAAGCGGGCGCTGCAGAGGTTAGGCATCGAGGAAGAGTGCTTCCACCGCATCATCTGCTTCGAGACGATGAACCCCCACCTCTTTGGGGACGAGAGAGAAGTTTCGAAGACTCCGGAGGTGGTCCTTAAGCCCTCTGCTAAGGCAATGGAGACGGCCGTGCGGCTCGCTGGCTTTCCTCCCCACCGCACGGTGAGGAAGCAGACAATTTCTCAAACAAAGCCTCCAAACCAACTCATTAAACTGCTGCACGCAAAAATGCTCCTCCATCAATATCTCCAAGGACGAACAAACATAATAACCACTGACATATTCGATAAAACCTCTCGATATTTATCTTAATTTAGAATTGTGGGCTCGATAAAGAATCGAATCTATATACCAATAATTCAAATAGATTCGAGAGAGTTTTAACGAATATACTTGGGATCTTTTCTTTTTATAGTATTTGATTGAGATTTTGATCATAAATGTAAACATGAAATCATACTCCCAACTAGTAGAATATGAAGTGTTATTATTATTATTAAATGTTTAAAATCGTTGTCCTTTTGTGTGGAGCAGCTGTTCGTAGATGACAGCGAGAGGAACATTGCAGCAGGCAAAGCAATTGGCCTTCGAACCGCTTTGGTAAATGGCATCCCTGCAGTCTCCCTTTCCCTATCAAACATTACGTAGGCTTGTGTGCCACGATCTCTTGTTTTACATGTGAAGGTTGGAAAGCGTGAGAAGACGAAGGAAGCGGACTACTTGTTGGATAACATCTGTGCGTTGAGGCAACTCATACCGGAGATTTGGGGAGAGCAGGAAAAGGTGGAGGCAGGTGGAGAGCACGGGGTGACGACGACAACAACAACGAGGCCTGAATTGGATTCCATTAGAGCAACCACCATAATTGGGGCATAGTCACGGCGCTGCTGCTGCTGCAGCTGCTGCGTCGCCATCACTCGTCGTCAGCTGTACTCCTGCAAATAATGCTCCAATTAGTAATCTAATCTTCCTCGTGCGTTGCTGACTGGATGTACATGTCTTATGCCTCCAAGCCTTGCGTCGGCTGTGTACATGTATAGATATAATACATCCAACTGTTGCATTCCACACATCGATTCTGGCTGTCATTATCTCCACTCGTAAAATGTCTACAGATCGATGGACATCAGTGACGGAATTGTTTGAACTTGACGTGACATGTTGCGTAGGTCATTGGTCTTTGAACTCTCGATCTCATCTTAGCACTACTGAGTCGGATTGGAAGTTTTGATTTATATATCAACAGGTCACCATCTTGGAGTGATTTGGCTGCCAAAATTTGATTTGCCACTAAAATTATGAGTAAGAAGACTACACGGAACAAAGAACCTCATCAAGAACTCAACGATGGATGGGTCTTAGGTCTGTGAGAAACAACAGATGGGATTTCAGGGGTGATTCGTCTGCCATAATGATTTAATTCCATTTGCGGACTAAATAACTGCTAATAAAATATATGCTCCAATAATGAAGTATTTAACCATCCTCAGATCAACAATCAGCCACTGTAACATTCATAAAGAACCAATATAATCCTCTTCTCATGATACACAAAATAAGATTAAATTCATATTTGGTTTACTCCGTCACTCTCATCTTCGATAATAAACATGATACAGATACGCATCTCATTTGCAGGAGAACCCTGGAGAGCTTAAATTCCAAATGTTTATTACAAGCTCATAGCTGTGACTAATTTATACCATTTCACAGTTGAATATATACGGTTTCGTGATTAATTTTTGATGTAAAGTTTGTGTAGGTACATTTCAGCCAATACAGTCAAACTCCATAAATGAAGCACATCATCTTGACTCCAGCACTCATGTATCTCTGTTTTGCTGTTCCCACCTAAGATCCTCGGTGAACTGCAGCATGGCAGCCCTTGGATCACCATCCGAAACAGACAGGTAGTATTCTGCAGTTCCATCATCCACTTGCATGCTTCGCTTCACGGAATTGAAAATTTTCCTTTTGCCTCTCTCGGTAATTGTCCTGTTTGCTGGATAGCCTGCTTTTCCATCAGGACCGCCTTCCAGATACAGCACCACGACTTCTCTTTTTGCATGTTCATCCAACTCAATGTAGCAGGTTCTGTTAAGAAGAAGCTCTGGTTTGCTAATGGGGATCAGCAGTCTCTCCCTCGAGTATATACCATGGTCACTCATCATATTGTTTAATCGTCTGATGTCCATAACCTACATATAGACCAGATTCGTGATAATAAGATAAATCTTTTCTCCACACCAAAAGGAATAATACAAACATGCTACAAAAATATTCATAAAAAGTTTCAGAAGATAAGAGCAAATTTCAGCAGTACCGATGGTAAACAAGGAATAGGAAGGAAACAAGAAGAATAGCAAAACAAAAATGTCTCCTAGATCAAGTTAGCTGTACCATGAAATATAAATGTAAAGCAGCAGACTTGTCTAGTGCAACTTTATGTTGTGCATCTATGTATTTACTGGAAAAATAAAAATATTATTGATACCAACCCATTCCATTAATATAGAAAGAAGAAGACTCATCGAGTTCGATAGTTGGAAGGTCTGGGTTTATCCTTGTGGAACATGTCTTCTGTAACTGATGCTATAAACATGCGTAGTTAACAAATGACATGTCTGAAACAAAAGCTTATTCAATCAACCTTCAGCAAATTTATGTATACAAAGAGTAGGAAGTAGTCAGTCCTAAAAGCAGAAATCTGTTTATTTCATTTACAAAGCAGAAACCTCTTATCATCTCTTACTGCATCTGCAGGGAAAAAAATGAAATATTCTCCCTTTGGTGGAGAAGATGTTTATACCGCAGAAAGGCTATGTCAGAACTCAAAACACCAGCCCTGCATCAGTGTGGTAACTCCTTGACAATGACCTAAGTAACAAAGAGCAGGTACATGGCAAAATACAGGTTCTCAACCAGACTCACTCTAGGGAACATTTAGAGAACTTTTCTTAAGGACATGACATGGAGCACTTGTTAGCCTGCAGCAACATGAAACCAACCTGCCAAGGCACAATCCAAGGTATGAGTACTAGTTCTTATTCGGCTGCAATTCAGTTCAAATCCCCAAACCATTGCTAACTTCAATCTATTAGCAAACGTTGATTTGCATGACAGAAAAGTTAAGCAGACATAAAAGGCTATGACCACAAGTCGGAAACTTATGTTACTGGGTGTAGAAAACACATTCAACCAGGAAGCATCGTATAAATCCAGCCTTGATGGCTGCTTTAAAAGTAAGTGAATTTCTTAGAAAAAGAAAGAAAGAAAGAAAAATAAAACTTCTAATTTCCAAGAGTCTTTTATGAGAATTGAAATTGACATCATCTGCTGGTTATTGAATCATCACCCTTTACTAATCCTAGTTACACCTTCACAAAAGCTCCATCAAAACCATTTATCTCACAAAAAAATGATACAAATAAATTTACCTATATGGTGCTTTTGGCCAAAGATCATCCAGTTTTCAAATAGATATATTATGTGTGGCCTACAAAATCCTCGTTCGTACTACCTTGAGAAATAACTTCTCATGATGGACTTAAGTGCCAGTAGATATACCAACATAATATCAAAAAAGGAACTTGTGTCAATCAACTCATTATCAATTGGCACATGTCATGCTGATACATTACTAGCATGCCCATATTTCATGAACTTTAATACGTTGATTAGTCGTATAAGAAGTCCATCTACTAACTGCACAAGTTCTTAGTCATGCTTGTATTGCAACTATCCTCAGAAGGTGCACCAGAAACCAAGTAGATGAACGAATAACTACGTATTAAAGCAAGCTTTATTACAACCAAAATCAAATATTTCCAAGATGGAAAAAATTCCAGATGGAGTACATCAAAATTTCAGATTATTTCCTAAAGAAAGCTTTATTATTTTTAATACTCCGAAATTAAATATCTTTCAAGTTTTCACGCGATTTAGGAGTCGGACTGTATGGTACACACAAAGGCAACTCAAAACTCCTCTATTATTACACACAATGGATGGCAATTACAATGAACAAATAATGACCATTTACTTGTTTCCTTTCCTACACTTCTCAATAGACTTGATCATTTCTGGAGCCAATTAAATTTTGAGACACATGATTCAGCCAACACCAGTTTGGAAAAAATTAACCTTAAACAAACTCAACCTGTAGGCCAACATGGAGTGCAGACACCATTCAGTAAATAAACCAAAATGTAACCGTTCATCTTTTCATCAACCAGCCACAATGATATCACTGGTTGCAACCAATGACACTTTTACAATATCAATGACAATTCTGTGAGCTTCAACCTCATCCAAGATTGTGCTTGATCATCAACCTTGAAGCTTAAGATACAAGAATCTAAAATTTCCATGTGGTTGAGTCGCTTAAGAAGCATGCATCTCAAGTTTAAACATAACTGCTGATAGGGTGAAGTGTCAATTAATAGAGGGCAAGACGAGGTATGTCAGTTTGCATTCACAATATCCGCGAACCCAAAAAACTCCTCTTTTTTTCTTTCCTCCTAATTCTATGGGGTGAAGATCATAACAGATCAATCCATTACAACCCAATCTTCCACGGACCACAGATCGCCTATAGAGGAGGATAACAGAAGAGCCCAAGGAGGACAATACCTGGACAGAGTACCTCAGGGCGAGGCCGGGGACGGTATCGCCGCGACGGAGGCGGTGGGAGATAGCGAAGCGGTCGAGGCCGGGGTGACGCCAGAAGGCGACGGAGGACGGCTCGCCGAGGACCCGACGCACCTTCCAGGGCTCCCGGAAGGCCCACTCCTTCATCTCGCGATCTGATGCAACGGCGCGCCACATTCGGCAGACGCACGCCGATCGGGCCAGATCGCCCGGCGGCAGTAGCTCCAGGATCGCCCGGAGGAGATCCGGGGAGCCGAGGGCCGAGAAGTTGGAGTTCATGGGGGAGAGCAACCCTTCGGAGTAGGAGGACGAGGAGGAGAGAGATAGATCAGGGTTAAGGTCAAGGTCGGAGATAGGGGCGAGGAGTTGCTTGAGGACGTCTTCGTCCTCGTCTCCTCCACAGCGTCCCATGGAGGGGGTGGATGAGATGAGGGCGAAGCTTGACCCGATGGTAAGGCCGGAGGATCTCGTGCGTTTCCCCTCCCGGGATAGGAAACGGCTGGTGCTTTTTAAAACAGGAAACAGATCGCGTTTCTAGATTTTTGTTTCGTGAAACAAATTTAGGTAACGAGTTCGCCTTTTCTCGCATTCAATCAGGATGCGGTTCGCGAATCTCAAAGCATACGCGTTGCGTACTTCTAATTTTTTTCTTGAGGTCTTTCGAAGATAATAATGAACTTATTTCTGTCTTTTAAGTTTAGAATGTCAATTTTAGACCCAATCTATAGATTTAGATTGGATCAGAATTGACTAACTTTAACAGGCATTGATGAGACAGGAGTCGTCTAAATCAATCGTCAATAGAAGGGAGAAGAAAAGAGGGAGAGACTATGAACAGAGGACTTAGGAACTTATAATGTAGCAGAAGACCTTATTAACAAAGGTCACATGGTGTTGATGGTCTTTAAATCATTATGTACAGTGAAAATTATTGTTTTAAACAGTGATTAGATGCATTTTTTGCCTTAATTTCTTTGTACATCGCGGGTTAGGCCTTCAAAACATTGCATTAGTCATTCACTTTCCCTCATATATGAGAGATTCTGCTCCGATATCATTTTAATTTTTTATTCTGATTAAAAAATTAGGAAATCAAACAATGAAAGATTACTTTGTGTGGCACAGATTTCAATTAGTAGGTCATGTGAATGACATGATCACCTTGAGCACATTGTGAATTAGGTGTCTTCTCGAACTGGAAGTATGAGAACCTACCGATTATGGCAGTACTTTTTTTTTTATCTTGGATGATTCCTCCACCAAATGCCCGTTTGTTTCACTGCATGCAGTCAATTATGGGGCATTAATCCATGTATAGATGCACTACGCAAGCAACACAATAGAGCAGGTGAATCAACGATGGAATGCGAGGGCTGACATGTACGTGTATCCAAGGAAACCCAGCGGCGCATCGAGCTCATCCGACACCCATTACAAGTTTGCTTATACCACCACGACACAATCCAAAACAGCACCGGGAGGAGCGAGTTATTTGGCAAGTCTTCAGTGTATGTGAGGTTTGTATGTATAGCTGGAACGGCATACCATCTCTATATATAACGTACTGCGTGAGACCGTGCAGGTATTCTTCTTCTTCTTCTTCTTCTTCTTCTTCCTCCTCTGCTTCTTATTCTCCTGTGGTTTCGGTTCCGAGTACTGTTGCCATGGAGAAGGGATGGTGGTCGCTTTCCTTGTTCTGGTGGCGTGCATGGGCCTCTCGGAGGGAACGGTGCATAGAGTTGGAAACGCTTCAACTACTCGAAGTGGTTTCTTCGAAGATTTTCCGAGTAGGGAACTTCATCTGTACAATGGATTTCTGCCTCCGCGCCCTGAAGAATGCATCATTGTTGATGAGGATAGTAATTATGATAAGACTCGACTGACGTCAGCCGACGCCTCACGCCTCGATCGACGTGACTACGCTCAGTCAATCGAACCGGAATACCGGCCGAGGCGCATTAACGCCTACTCAGGCGCGATTCTTCACGCCACGCCAGCGTCCATGTCAGACGTTATCAGCCTGCATCCTGCAGACGGGCACATCAAACAGCAGTAAGCTTCCCTATAAATACCCTCTCGTTCATCAGAGAAGGGGGAGAAAAAGAGAGCACTTCTTCACCTAAAACCCCCTCCACATCCACTAACTTGATCGTCGGAGGGGTCGGGCCGAGCTTCCGACCCGACCTGTGTGCAGGTGCAAGAACGGGGTCGCCTCTTCCCGGCGCTGCGGTAAAGCTTTCCTCCTGATGCGACGTCCCGACCGGACCACTGTAATCGGCCACCGAGAGATCTCAAGGGACGTCGCGCAAGATCCCCGTCATTCGGACCCCCCAACCAAGCTGCGTCGGCCTCGAGGCCACGACATAAAGTTGTTTACACCAACAGATTGGCGCTAGAAGGAGGGCCTCCGAATGTTGGGCGATCAGCAGATCCACTCTGACGAACCCGCAGCTGTCGGGTTGCGCCCGATCAGCACCCCGGGAGAACCCCGAGACGAACGCCTCGCCATAACGTCGGAGCGCTACTGGCGGTTGTTCAACGACCCGGGTTTATCGCCGCCCGATGGCGCCCCCGCCGGCCCGTCGCCTATATCGCCCGAGGCCTTTCAGGACCTCGCTCTTCAAGTTTGAGCCTTGATGGAAATGGTGCAAACCATTATCCCGCTCATTTCTCATCCGGCGCGCCCGCCTGCGATCGAACCACTACGACAACGCAAGGCGCCCGTTCGAGCCCACATGACGCTTCCGGAGCCCCCCACTTCGCCTCGGGTCCGACCGGCCCCACTCGGGGATCCAGTGATGGCAAACCCGAGCGGTCGCCCGGAACCCGAGGCACTCTCTTCGGACTCCCTGCGGGCCCAGTTGCACTTCGTCAGCCAGCGACTCGACGAGGTGCAGAAAGAGGTTCGCATGTCCAAGGGAGAGCTCGGGGAGGACGCACACCGAGGGTCTCCCTTCACGCCCGAGATACGGGACATGATAGTCCCCCCAGACTTCCAGCTCCCCTCTCTGGACGCTTACGATGGCTCCGCCGACCCGGCGAACCACGTAGCTGCTTTTCGCGCCCAAATGGCGTTATACGGAACCTCTGATGCCCTGATGTGCAGAGCGTTTCCTACCACTCTGAGAGGGCCGGCCCATGCGTGGTATGGCGGCTTGGAGACCGGAACGATTGCTTCCTTCGACCAGCTCGCCAAGGACTTGGAGCTCCACTTCGTAGCCTATGCACGGCCAAAGCCCTCCGCGGCACTGCTCCTCGGACTCAAACAAAGGGAGGATGAGTCCCTCTCACATTTTGTGGATAGCTTTGCCATGCAAATCCGGGGCTTGCCGGATGCTCAGCCCTCTCTGTTAGTGCATGCGTTTATGATAGGCCTGCGACCTTCCAGATTCCTCTGGTCCCTCGCGGAACGACCTCCCACTACGGTGCTAGATATGCTCCAACGGGCTGACCGGTACATCGCAGCGGAGGCCTGGGCGGCTGTGAGGAGAAGGGACGACCTCCGACCGTGAGCTCCATGAGAGAGGCCAAGCACCCGCGGTGGCTACCCGATGTAGTCCTCATGAAAAGAAATCCAAGCCCTACCTCAGTCTTTTCTAAGCAAAGGTTCAGTATCTACCTGACCCCCTCTCGGCTCGCGGTTGGCCCCGGCTTAAACCCTTCTGAATCTACACGGCTCGGCCGTAGACTGCCCGAGTCCACCTCAGCGCGGCCTGCCTGCCTGAGTCACCTCTTTCGGCCTTTGCTAGATCCCTCGGACACAGATTGCCCGAACCCACCTCAGGACGGCCTGCCCGCCTGAGTCGTGTCCTTCGGCCTTTGCCATATCCCTCGGCTGTAGACTGCCCGAGTCCACCACACCTGCGCGGCCAGCCCGCCTGCGTCGTGCTCCTCGGCCCCATGACCTGCGCGATCTGCCCGCCTGCGTCGTGCTACTCGGTCGCATGAGGCCAGAGAGACCACGCCTGCGCGGTCTGCCCGTCTGCGTCGTGCTACTCGGCCGCATGCCCCGAGACACACCTGCGCGGCCAGCCCGCCTGCGTCGTGCTCCTCGGCTCCATGCCCCGAGACACACCTGTGCGACCAGCCTGCCTGCGTCGTGCTCCTCGGCTCCATGCTCCCCGAGACACACCTGCGCGGCCAGCCCGCCTGCGTCGTGCTCCTCGGCCCCATGACCTGCGCGGTCTGCCCGCTTGCGTCGTGCTACTCGGTCGCATGAGGCCAGAGAGACCACG